AAAAATAGACAATGTATTGTCTTCGTTCTAATGATAACAGATCTTGTACACAATACTTTACAATAATGCAAAATCTACACCTGTGATGCCACTCACGTTGATTAAAAAGTAAGTCATATTGGAAATATTGAATACATAGTGAAGAAACCATTTCAGAAACTGCAATCATTTTTCCAATGTCTAGGTCGATCACATTACCTTACATTTCATTACATTTAGCTGACGCTTTTATCCTAAGCTACTTACAATAAGTGCAATAAACCATAAATATTCAAATTAAGGACAATAAGAACAGTGCTGACAACACTTCAAACAAGCAATAACATTGTAAGTGCTGGTGCATAAATTAAACTCTTAATTCGCCAAGGTACAAGCAAAAGATCTTCACGTAAAATTAATAATTGTTTTGTTTTTGGGAAATTTGACTTCCAACAGAACACAGTGAGTGAAGTGAAAGAGAAACTCTGACTATCCTCCTCTGGTTAGCCAATGCCTTCTTGTTTCTGTTGCAATGACATGCAACTCTTACTATAATATGTCTTTGTTGCTGTGTTTACATTGGCCGTGTCATCCTCCCTGCAGAACTGGCTCAGACCTTCTCCTCCGTGATCCAGAGCTCTGCAGTCCATCACTGACTGCCGGCTATATTTTACAGAGATTTCTCTCCCATAAAAGAAACGAACACTCTTTGATGTGCTGAATTCCTGAGAGCCGTTCATCACAGTGTGTGTGTGTGTGTGTGTGTGTGTGTGTGTGTGTGTGTGTGTGTGTGTGTGTGTGTGTGTTGTGTGTGTGTGTGTGTGTGTGTGTGTGTGTGTGTGTGTGTGTGTGTGTGTGTGTGTGTGTGTGTGTGTGTGTGTGTGTGTGTGTGTGTGTGTGTGTGTGTGTGTGTGTGTGTGTGTGTGTGTGTGTGTGGCGTCAAGGTTTTTCAGCGTGCGTGTGTGCGTGCGTGGCAGCCTGGATGCCAGATTGGGCCTAGAGTTATGCGATGAAGAGGAGAGATTACAAGGAATCACAAAGGCCCATTCAGCCTTGAGAGGACTCTTCGGGAACACTCTCTCAATGCTTTTTTTAATTAGAGCAACTTCTCAGCACACACAAACACACACCTATTTCTCTTTCTCTCACTCATTCTGCTTTCTCATTACTGCATATTACTGTTTGTGATATGTTTCTCACATTGCTTCATACCCTCTATTCAGCGCTGCTGTGGGTGTGTTGGCCTTCACTGCTTATTACTGTGTAATCAGCGTGTGTTTAAAGTTGTGTGTGGACATCTGCTGCTGAGGGAGTGTGTGTGACTGAGTGCTACCCTGTATCAGGGTATCTCTGTGTTTGTGTGTCAGCAGCATATTGCCGGGCTTAGGGCGGCGCCAATCCAGCGCTGGCGCTCATTACATCACCTCCACACACACACACACACACACACACACACACACGCACACACACACACACACACACACACACACACACACACACACACACACACACACACACACACACACACACACACACACACACACACACACACTCACACACACACACACGCACACACACAGAAGTGCATATAGAGCCCCCGCAACTACCTGCTTTGTCCACCCGAGCCCATCTTCTGCTGCTG